ATGCGATGTCGCGTGGCCCGCCGCTTCCTCGCAATAACTTCCGAAGGAAAATTCACGATAATAGAGACTACCGCCTGTGAATTCCGCATGCAAGTGCTCTGCCCTCCGCGAGCTCTCCTTTTCACCGAACCTCTCCGGCTATAGTCTCTCCTTCCTCTCTTCTTCGCCAACGAACATCTCTTCCCTTTCTCTGTTTCTCGACGGCGTGGACGAAGGGGATTTTTCCCTCTTCCTTTGCGGAAAGGACCACGAAACGACGTCCACGACGGGCTGAGGGAGGCTGAGCTAGACAAATAGTCGCGCCGTGAAATACCGCCGCCTCCTTAAAACTTTAAAGTGTTTCGAGTAATCCTAAGGCGCGACTTTAGATCACGGGGTATCACCCGCCCACCTCGTGTACTCCAACCCCCTACGTTCCGTTCTCTTTCTTCTCTTTTTCTTCTTCTTCTTCTTCTTCTCCTTCTCAGCTCCGAAGATCTGCTACGATCGCTACGATTTTTTTTCTCTTTTTCTGTTCTTCGCTCTCTCCGTCTATGGTGGCGTGCACGAAGACGTTACGGCGAATCGAATACAAATGGTCGCGTCGGCCGCTGGTAATCGGCTACGGCTCCGGCTCCGATGAGCTTCACCGAGGAAAGCCCTTGTTCCGCGGGTTTGATCGCGGTACAACGACGATTTAGAGTTTACTTTTATAGCGGCAATTTGCACTGAACGTCCGCCATTACGCGGAGAGACGGCTCGTACGATACCCTGATCGTATATATATTTTTCTTTCCACCGTCGACCTTAACCGCGCGATGCGGTCTGCGTTGTTAAATTGGAATTGTTCAGAATGAAAAGGAATTTTCGTTCGAAGTGTCGAGTAAAATTCGAGGCTTTTTTTGTTCTGTAGAGGAAACACAACGCTAACCTGGTTCGACGATCAGCATTACAGTGTCCGTTCGTCCCTCGGTCGGCCTGCACGAGTATTTCCCGACGTCGCGCGGCGTCACCGTCGCCAGAGTCAATTCCGAGACCGTTCGAGCCGCGCCTCTTTCCGTCTCCACGCTTATTCCCCCTCGTGCAGCCTGCGAACAATGCAAACAACAGAGCAAATGCAACGTGAAATTCGGTACACAACGCAACCGATCATCCTTTCTCCCATTGTCGTTCTTCTTTTCCCTGCGTTTTCTCTGCGTCGTGGTGGCGATGCCGATGAAACATTGAAACGGTTACCTGGCTACGACGCCAATCAATTCACGAACGACGTTGTGTACATATTTGCAATTAATACCGTTTTATCGCGAGAGCACGCACGCACGCACGTTACGTCGTACGCACCGGTGTCCGTCAGGTTGTTGACCGGACGAATATTACGATCGAAAAATGTCGCGAGTGCGGAAAATTAAATAAATCTCCGGGCCAGCCCTCCGTTTCCGTCCCTCACGCGAAACGTTCGCAGTTTGTAATTTCGTAATAAATCTGCCGAGATGAATTGCGCGTAGTCTGGCGGCGAATAAATTCCCAGCTGTTCGCCCTATCGCGGCCTCGATCGCGTTTTTCATCCCGCTATGAACCGATTTGAACGTTCGTTGTAATTACTTCGATCCGGCGGCGTTTCGCAAACGACGAACGACGAACGACTCTCAAATGCTCGTTGCGAGTGAAGAGGAAAATGAAAGAAATGTTAAGTTTCCTTCGCATCAGAAATGATTTGTTTCGAAAATTCTCTATTTTTTTTTTCCTTTGTTTTTGTGTTTTCAATCTTTCTCTGGCGAGGAAGGACATTTCGCGCGTTTAAACAAAAATCTTGCAAGCCGGCGAAGGGGTTGGAAGTTCGTCGCGAGTCGCGTCTCCCTGTCACCGCGATGATTTACGATCGTATTTCTTTCGTTTCGGGACGAGACATTCTCGAGAGAGAGAAAAAAAAAAAGAAGAAAAGAGTGAGAGAGTGGAAGGAGTTGAACGTCGAAAGAAGAGGAAGACTCGGTGTAAAAAATTTCATTAGAGTCCGTCTCGCGTCTCGAGGAGACGCGAGGCTGTATTACCTGGAATGTTAGGAGTTTGTTATCCCGGAGCCATTGCACCCCCCTGATGGGCCGAGTTTGATACGGGGACAATATGACGCACCTCAAGGTGATAGTTGACCCGGATGGCACTCTTTGCTCCCGTGGGCCCATTATAGCTGCCACTGGCGCCGTGCTCTCGTAACCTGCAAGCCATGTATGGACAAATATCATACGACGGGCAGCATCTTTTGATGAAAATTTCGTATGTTTCAGATACGGTTCATGCTTACGCTTCTACGTCACAGTTAGTCGTATAAATGGTTTAGTGGAGATTTACTACGTTCTCGGTATAAATTTATGGTGGGTTGTTTAAAAAACGATTTGGTAAAAATTTAATATGTTCCGGGTATAAAATATCTCTGAATTGAAATTGTATAAAATACACGGTTCAACACTAGGACCAAGTATAATATTTGTAGCAAAGGAATTGAAGTGTATGGTACAAGAAGAAGTTAACAATACAATTAAAGAACACAAGCTTCTGTTAACATGTTTCATTAAAAATCACTCGAGCACTTAAAAACACACTGTCGTAAATATGGAAATTTATAAATTGGACCGCTTTACTGTTGATAAAAATTTAGCGTGTTCCATCGGTGCTACTGAAGTCACAACAATAGAATTTGTTCACTGATATTTCAATACCAATCATTCATTATAAATGAATCTTCTTGCGGAACAACGTAAGGAAGAACGTTCTCTTATTATAAATGAAAATACAATACAATGTACTTCGTTAGTGCAATTTGAACAACAATCAACGCCATTGACCCAGTTTAATCTCCAGTATCAAAATTAAGAAACTCATCGCTCGGTCTTCCAAGGCTGCGATATATAATTTCTTAATGAATGGAATAATTCCCGGAGTCGTTCGTGCTCCCCGAGACAATAACTTGGCGAGAGATTATCAAGACCTGGCGAGTTTTGTCCACTTGAAAGCTCCATTCCCGGTACGGAGGCGTCCCCGTTTGAATAAAGATATCGGGTGCATTTGAAACAATGTTAAACAGCTTATGGCCCAGAGATCCGAGAAGAAAGTAATTACACGGTGGAGAAGAACTCGCGGCAAAAGAAGGAAGAAAGGGAAAAGAAAGGACGGAGCGCGTTTCATGCCTTGGCTGGCTGAAAAAGTAGATTCATTAAAAACCGCGTACGGCACGACTTCAGTCGAGATTTACGGAACGATGTGACCGAACGAGAAACAGGAAACTCCACTGCCCGAAAGAAACCACCGGGCGCTAATAATTCGTCGCTTTCATTTATCCGGCCGAACTAGTTGGGCCGAATTAATTATCGCTAAGGAGAAAAATACTGTCTAGAGGTGGGGGAAGGAGGAACGGCAATTCATCTTAAAATCTCGACAACTTTTTTAATTGGCAGCAAATCGAGTCGACTTGTCACTATCGATTGTTGCTAATTGACACGGTCCTGTTTTAATATTTCTCACCGTCGTCGAAGTGAACGCCAACGTCCGCCGCGTTGAGAAGAATCCCCCGTTAATGAACCGCTGTAATACGCGCCATTAAGGACCAGTCGACGACGAGTGTTGCGCGATAATTTTAATTAATGCGAACGTTGGCTCTCCCTCTTGAGAGAGACTGAACACGGGACGACGATGACGACGACGACGACGACGACGGTGCATGCGACAGCTTTACAAAGTAAAGCTTTTCAACCGGCGAAAGAGAACGCGGCAGCGTAACGCGAGGTTTTTTTCTCCTCTCCCCTCCCCTCCCCTCCCTTAGCCTCCTGCAGGACGCGGTATGTACTGTCAAGTTTGTACGTTTTAATTTAGAGGGTCGGCGCAAGTGGCCGTTTAATATGCGTGCCACCGTGAAACGACGTGTTCCTCTCTCGCGACGCGTTCGCCCCAGTTCCCGCCGAGAATCGAACCGCGCCGACCTCGCGCCGAAAGGGAGATCGATCCCGAGAAACCTGCCTCGACTTCGCCGCGCCACGTTGAATTTATGGATAGATGGAAGGCCGAGGAGGACCTTCTGAAGAGTGTCTTCTGAATCTCAGGAGAAACGTGAGAAGAAAAAAACGTCCCTTTGAACGGCCGAAGACACCGAAGGCGGCGAGGAGGGATCACAATTACAATTCGACGACTCGGGTCTCGCTGTATTGAGGTGCGACCCATTTCCAACTGACTCGGCTGGTTGGAAAGATAAAAAGACAACGAGGAGCAGGAAGTGGAAGAAACGAGGGAGAACGGATGGAGGGAGGAAGAGGAGGAGGAGAAGCTCTGCCTCGTCGTTCGTTTCAGGTAGCTGGATTCCCGAGCCCGGAAATTGCAGTTTGAAGTGCGAAGAAACAAGAGAACCGTCTCGCGTACACGGACAACGAGAGGCGGTCTAATAATTCATTACGAGGCGAAAGGGAAAAACAATGGGCGTCGATGGGTGCGCGTCTCGTAAGAGACCGACCCTACACCATAGTGTATGATAATGTTGGAACAAGCATACATTATTCAGCGCGATGGAGAAAGGGCGAGAACGAGAGAGAGAAAGAGAGAGAGAGAGAGAGAGAGACTCATTTAACGCCACGTTCCCTTGCTACAGGAGCTCGTGGAAGCGGCAGGTTATGGCCACGCCAGGTGACGAGGAAAAAGACCGACCGGAGAACCGGAGGAGGTTTTCCACGACTACCAGGATTAAGGATAATCCTATTAGACTTGAATTAATCCCCGGGGAACTGCATTTCACCCCGGCGAAATATTACGTTATGCCGTTATTACTGTACACGGCCGCAGCAGCCTGTTTTTCCTTCATGGTTCCCAGCTTTCTTCACGGCCGCGTTCGCCGCCCGCTAACTTCGATGATAATTGTCCCCCCGTCGCGATCTTTTATTATTATTCGACGGCCCCTGCTACGCCTCGCTGCAGCGCTCTCCGTGGAAAATGGAAAAACAGCTTGGCCGTCTCTCGAGGAAATAATCTTTCGCATGCCAACGCGGTGGACTTTTCGAGAATTTCAGGCGAGGTTTATCTCATCTTCACGCCAGGGGTAATTTGATTTCGAGCTGAAGTTCCATGACGCGATCTTGAATTTGCGGAATTTTTTTCCAGAAATCGTCTCTCCGCTCCCCCCCTCCCCCTTTGTGGGAAGAAATTTGCAGTTTCTTTTCACCAATTGATATTCCGAACAAATACATCATTTGCCATTATCCGTTGTTTTTCCATCTCTCTCGAGTGCCATCTAAAATAATTTTCGACCGAAACACGCGCTAATCCCACTCTCGTCGAAAGTTCCGATTTATCAATCATCGATTCGCAGCTGTTTCCCCTGTCACTGCGCGTGCAATTTTCGTTAAAAGCACTTTACAGTCGATTCTCACTTCGAGGATATTTCGATCAAAGTGTGGGATACTCGCGACGCGTTGTTTCTCCGCTGCTCTTTAAATTTAACCAGCGTCGATTCGAAGTTCGAACGACGGGGGAGAGAGAGAGAGAGAGAGAGAGAGAGGATGAACCTCGGAGCTCCGAGAGTTGGAAGCAATAAAGAGGAGGACAGAGAAATCTCGCGTCCCGAGGATGAAATGACGGAA